CGCTTAAACTAAACCAAATTGTCTGAAATTTTGTACAGTAATTAAAAACCCGACAAATTTTCAATCTATTAACTCAAAATATGATTACAGCTTTTAAATTTTGTGCGCGAGCCATTTTTAGTTTGTTGGGAAAGACACATCCCCCTGGTTCACAGAATTTGAGTTCGAGAAATGTTTTCCCATTATTTTACATTATAAGTACCCAAAGAAGCTATATATATAAAAAACCAGATACAAATAGGTGTTTTGCGAAATTGAGAGCAATTTCAAATCTGTTCAGTTTTTTTTTATACACCCTGTATATATATATATATATATATATATATATATATATATATATATATATATATATACTATATATATATATATATATATATATATATATATATATATATATATATATATATATATATATATATATATATATATATATATATATATATATATATATATATACAACAATTGTAGAATGCGCCTGTCTTAAAGTTAGTCTGTTGGCGTATACCCACTCCAAATTATTACGTGGAGATAATTTCATTGGTAACGGCCCCCCCGTAACGAGAGTTAATATCGGAAAGGCTTCGCCGCTTCCGTTGTCAATTATCAACAATAAATTCTATATTTAGTTGTTTTTCGTTATCAATGACTGGAACGACTGATATTACACACGACGTTAACACAATAGACAAATTTCCAACTTTAATAAAACCATTACACATTTTTACGGCTACACTACAGTAACCGATTATAATTAATCTAAGTCCATTTATCTCAAGTTCACCCTCATTACAAATGATATATTTCGAAATGTTCTCAGAAACGTAACCTAGATCTAGGTATAATCAACAAACCGTGGTATGGTATGGTCAACGTGAGCTGCTTCTCACGAGGGGCGTCAAACAAGAACTACTTATAAATTAAAGAATATACACATTAAACTATATACAAGTTAAACTAGCCTATATATAGAAAAACAAGGAAGCAAAGAATAATAGAAAAGGAATTATATAAAAACTTAACAATTGGTGCGATCCAGAGGAGATGTTCATGGCTGACGTATTACCCTTGCCTTGGTTTTTCCACCATGTTCCGACAGAGATGCCAAAATACTGCTTATGATCGTCAATACAGGCTAATAACTCAATGGGTAGGCATTTGGACCAAACTGCAGGATTATTGCTGCAACCTAAATCTTCATTGTGAGGTAATCCTTCGCATGTTTTATAAGGCGAAGATTTGGTCATGATTTCGCTACCATAAAAGATTTCTTTGCCGTGATGATAAGGCCAGCCTCCTAAGGCAATACACGGAGTTCCAGGCACCAGTGTCTTGCAGGTTGGAAGATGGACAACAATATCACGGTAATGCGTTACCCTGAAACTTAGCGGTACCAAACCATCGTGCGTGAAAGCGTAATCATAATTACCGACTCTGGGTTGACCAAAAGTGTACAACATCAAGTTATCTTTCGTTGTCTTGCCATTATACATGATAAGTGTACTTGCAAGCGATGCAAGTGCTCCACCTAGAGAATGTCCTGTTACCCAGACTTTATAAGTTGGGTAGCTGTTCATCTCTTCGTTGACATATTTTTGCAAGTCGTTCCACACAACATCCAATGCGTCCGAAAAGTACACTTGAACTTGTCCGCCTGCTTCGAACGACTTTTTTGGCTCGACTAGTATACGAAGAACTTCGTTAACTAATTGTTTAAAATGCTGAGTACCACGGAATGAAATAGCGATGGCTTTTTCTGCGTGTGAGACAGCAACAAAACCAGAGCAAAGAGCGCCTCCTGAACATGGCTTTGTAACCTGCTTGACAAGGTGAAATGTGTCCACTTCGCTTGCTTTCGGTATGTACTTGGCCACATCGTCAGAGTATGCTAACGCGCAAAGATAGATCATTTTGTGCGCAAGGTTTTTGTCGTACTTAGCATGCACGATCTTGTCGCAGTCATCAGGGTTAACGATATTCTCCGTTCGCGAGCATTTATTTACCAAGCTGCCTTGAGCATGGCATGCCATGTCTTGTGGGCACCAGCGACAATTTTCCCCGGACCAAGTTTTGTGGTTAGTGCAAGAGACGCAGTCGCTCTGATCCTTACAATCATTGCCACCAAGCCAGGCGTTGGAATATCTTAAGGAAACACAAGCAAGGAGAAAGAACAACAAAGACATGTTCGCTGCGTGATGTTGCTCGCCTTATGACACTGACAAAGTAAGAAACCACTTGTTTCGATTTCAAAGAAAAAACTAGGAAATACTTGGAATACATGCATAATTACTCTTCCTTATATGGCAAAGGGAAAGGTAAAGATTATTTTACACGTGAGCAATCAGCACCTTAATAACAACTGTTTTCGTATTCAAAACCAGTTTCAGAATGAACGACCTAAATTGCAAGTTGCAGATTGGTGCAAGTTGATTGATAGTTAGCTGAGAAAACCCTTGGATATTTCCATGGAGTTTACAATAAAATCATATACTAGTCTGGGTGAACAAGTTGCAGGTATGAGCGAAGCCATTGATCAAACTGCACCCATGCCTACTAATACGACTGATAGAATTGATATTACGAAAGTCACCGAACTGTGGAATCGCATCAAAAATTCATATATCAACCACTCCCACAAACGTCTACGATCGCGCCTACATAGTTTTGCATGTTTACAATTCTAATTTTAAACAGCCAAATTTAGTTCTGTTCAAAATTAGAATTGTAAACATGCAAAACTATGAAGGTGCGGTCGTAGACGTTTGTGGGAGTGGCCGATATACAAATTTTTGATGCGATTCCACAGTTCGTTGACTTTCGTAATAAAATTGAGAAGTATTTTGAGTCTAAATTTATGGATAAAATTCTGTTTAAATAATGGGCTTGAATGCGTAAATAGTTACGGCAAGAAAATACGAAACTTAAGGAAGAAAGCAATGCTTTGAAAGATAGTCTTCACATAGCTAAATATGCTTTATCTAATTTGAATTATAAAGTAAAGGATCTTGAGAATGAAAAAAGCTAGCCTTAATTACAACTACTCTGAAAATTTTATATCAACATTCTCATCAGCCCTATGAGTATTGCTCTAAACAAAAGGATGCAAATGTCGACCCACACAACAATTGCTTGAATAAAACTAAATCCGTATTGACTCAGATAGACAGCGATATAGTCCATTCTCAAAGTAGACTGAGCGACGAACCGATTATTGTGCTTGATAACGAAGGAGTGGAACTTAAACAAACATAGACAAAAGACCGCAAACTCCTACACATACGCCTAAACAGAATAGCATTCTCCCAGGAGGAAACCCGGTGTTTAATAACAAAGCTACCACAGTGGCGCATGCCCACTCGATCATTAAGAATGTTCACTATACAAAGGGAGTCAACCAAGCAAATGATCCTATTCCCGTCACACTAACCACTGAAGTAAAAAAAGTCGATATTGAAGTTAATGATGTGAATGATCTTAATTCTACTAACGTTAGTGTAAGCGAGATCTCCAGTCAAAATCACCCAAATCCTACTACCAGATTTAATAAACCATCATATCCAAATACCAAGAATACCATATTTGATATTAATGCGATATCTCACCCACTTATGAACCATTTGTACGCCTTTCATACAACCCTTACAAATCTTGCAACCCCTAATGATATGCCCACGAGAACAATCAGATATTTATTGAGGATTATACCTGGAAGACTTGATCATTGTGTATCTATCCCTGGATTCAACTTATTTCGTAAGGATCGCATAGGATCTTCTGGTTGTGGAGTCTGCGTATATTTGGATCACGAAATACCTTGTAACCGTCTGGATTCATGTGACCAATCTGATGTAGAATCAATTTGGATTTCATTAAGACCACATAAACTCCCAAGAGAAATTACATCCATTATTCTAGGAGTAATATATCATTCAACATCTAATAAAGAACCTGAGAATGTTGTCCTTAGAGACCATGTGCAGAATAACCTTGACTCATTACTCTTTAAGGAACCTAACGCTCTTGTATTACTTACTGGTGACTTTAATCCCTCGTCAACAGGTTTTAAAATGAAATACATCACACAGGTGAACCATCTTAAACAACTTATATATTTTAAAACCAGAGATTCTGCCGTATTGGATTGGCTGTTAACAAATAGACCTAAGCTGTTTGAAGTATCTAGATTGCCAAAGGTTGGTTCGTCTGACCGCAATTCGGTTACTCCGCCATTCCGGATCCGTGTTTTATTCTAATCTGAATATAAATACAGTGTACAGAAAGTACAACTATTCTTCAAACATCAAAAAGTTAAAACATTGTCTATCAAGATGTGATGGGCTGGAAACCCGACAGAAGTCATTGTGTTATGTTTCTTTCTGAGTTTATGTTATTGGGGCACCATGTATGTGGAAGGGATTTATTGTGGAAAAGATTTATTGATGGAATATTTGAATGTGAATTTTATACATGTGTGAACTGAAAGACATTCACTAAAACAGCCCGGGAAGGATGGTCCAGACTCCAAAACTATCTACCATTGGAAAAAACCCTTAACTAAAAGAGGATACGTGCCACATCAATTTATATATTACTATCCTTTCAAACACTCATTAATAATTCATAAGCTTATTGGCAAATCATGTCAACCATAATGTGTCACGTGAAGAGGCTTTACACATGATAAAACTCATCTTCGTTAGTATTCTTTATATAAAGGTCCATCCTAATAAGTGTTCTTTATACAAAGAATACTAATGAGACGGCATCTATTGTAGTCGTGTTTGAACTTTGAAGCTACTGAAAACACTAGTCGTGTTTTATCATATCATAGTCGTGTTTTATCATTTTAGTAGTCATGTTTTATCATATCTAAAATGCTCGTGCTGCGCACTCGCATTTTAAATATGATAAAACACTACTGCGCGTGTTTTAAATAGTTCTTCATTTATTGAACGTGTTGTGAAAACAAGGCAATAATGTATTATTATTCAGCGTAACGATAGACTTACTTTATGAAAACAAGATCTTTAAATGATTCCATTGAGCCACTTCTTAATTCATCTTTTGTTTCAATCATTTCCTAGAAAGATTTAAATCTTGGACTGAAATCTCCAATATTTTAATGAATACAATACGAAATTTATTCAGTAGTGACGGACACTTCGCGAAATGATTGGGAAGGAGGCCGGTGAAGTTAAGTTACCACCCATATTATTCTGATACGTAAAACCCCGCACATAAGAACCTAGAATTTAAGAGCCTGTTAGGCTAAAATATTTTTAGACTCCCTTTAAATAAGAACCTATTCAGGCTAGAATTTCAAAACAGATTCTTATATTATCAAATAGAGTCAAAATTAAGTCATAAGTTACAATCAGTGTGGCTTTAAAGTGCATATAGGGTTGATATATGTTCATATATGTTCATATACTGCCATTTTTTAGATCATTTGTGCATAATTGATATAAATCATATACCATACCTCCTTATATTGAGTTGCTTTTCTCTTAAGAAAATAAGAACCTATTTAAAAACCTGTTTAGCCTAATTTCCTGGTAAGCACCATTTACATAAGATCCTGTTTAGGCTAACTTGGAAAAGCTAGGTTCTTATATGCGGGGGTTTACTGTACTGCAAATCCCAGTTCTTTACAACTTTTCCCCTAAATGTCATTAACATATTAATGTTGGAGCGTGACTGCGTGAGAGTAATAAATGTTGAAGAATTTGACAGAATTTGACTTCTATCCACTCTATTATGAAACTTCCCTATACAAGAATATAAATTTCTCCAATAGAAAGCCTTAGTATATAAGCGCCTCGGTTGAAACGCCCCAGCCGCTTAATAGATCATCAGGGCAGGAAAAAATAATGTTCTTCCTGGGAGCACAACCTGGAGACAAAAATTTTCTGCAGACCAACTGAGCATTTTTGTGCTAAATCTGCATGTGCATAAACATATAGTGTTCTAGCTGACCATGATTTAAATTCAAGGAATAATGTATGTCAACCATATCTTAATTGTTGTGCCCACAGAGCATGCATGGGGCATTGGTATTAAGGTTTCCTTCATATTTTCAATAGCAAATCTTCATTCAGACGAATTTCCTGCAGCTGCTTAACATTTCATGCGAGCAGTGCTGGCGTGCTCGCCTATTTTTTCCACCCCTGTATAGATCAGTTACGGTTCTGTACAAAAAGTTGATCGTTCTTACCTTGAGCCATTCTAAAAGTGTGTAAAGTTTTAAAATACCGCCATCTGCCATTTTCTCCACAAAGTTCGCATCTTCAATTGTATCTCCGGCATCAGCCAGAGCCAAACGTAAACCTGTAGAACAGACACGAATCCTTGTTCAAGGCATTTAAAGTCACACTAACCACAAATACTGTAAATGTTTGCCACTGGCCGACAATTCGCACCGTAGCTAGACCGATAGTTGGGGGGGGGGGGTGCATATTCACATTTTCGTGTTCTGCCCGACGGATTTCTTTTGAAAGAGATTGTTTTTACGGTGTGTGAACATGAATGAACGTCTAGCTACGGCCCCGTGTCCATGTATAAGCGCAAAATAAAAAAGGGACTGTTTGAGTTTAATAATAAATATGAATAACCAGAATTACCATCTGCTGAGAATTTTTCTACAGCTTGCTCCAAAGTCAAGAAGTTCCCAGTAGACTTGGACATCTACATAGAGACGAACTTTATGATTAATAAGGCTAACATGTGGCAACAACGATTAACGAAACTATAGCACAGCTACGGCTCGGCACCAAGTAAAATTCTTTAAACGATTAGTGATAGTAAAAAGTTGTTACGGTAGAATTGTAAAAGTGCATCTAGATATATGTATAACAACCGTATACAATAGGCACTTCCCGAATTTGCTTGAATACAAAGCAAAAAATAGCTTGAAATCAAAGCGACAATATAATCGATTGTAAATAAGTATAGTACTTTCATTGCCAGTCAGAAATTCGGGAAGTGCATGTGCATGCATTGCACGGCATGTTGTCATTGCTGTACCACACCTTTTCTGAGTTGAGTAAGATATGTCCATTTGCCCTCACGCTGATTGGCCATCTAGTAATAACAAAAAATAATTGTATAAACAAAAATCAACATGGCATATAAGGTACAATCTTTTTTATAACAGAGTTTGGGAAATGCATGGGAAATACATGTACATACCCCCCCCCCCCCCAAAAAAAAAACAAAAAAAAAAAACAAAACACAACAAAAACCATGACCAGCCGACAATTTAGAAAAGTAAAGTAAAAAACAAATTCCGAAAAGACAAGACATCTTGAGAATTCAATATATGATTCAAAACAAGACGCAGGTTGAGACTGTAAATTTTTTTTAACTTTATTTCAAGGTCGTCTTCATCTTCGTCTTCTTCTTTCAAAGTCGTCTTCGTCTACTTCTTTCAAAGTCATTTTCATCTTCTTCTTCTGTCTGAAGGTGACTTTGAAACAAAGTAAAAAATTCACAGTCTCAACCTAGCTGCGTCATGTTTTGAATCATATATTTTTCTCTCAAGATGTCTCGTCTTTTCGGAATTTGTTTTTTACTATACATGTACATTATCCAGTATTTAATATTTTTGCACAAGTGAACATAACAAATCCTACAAGGTGATTAGTCAAATTTGACGTATTAATCTGTTATATTTACCTAGAGGTGAATATAACAAAATCGAAATTTTCGAAATGGCGGCTAGCCTTTTTGTTGAAGTTAGCGATAAAGAAATAAGCGAAATTAAAATGAATTCAGACCAGAAAAACACAAAAAAACTTGTGCAAAAATACTAAAACAATTATTCGCCTCAGGCTCGGTGATTATCGCGGAATATGCACCTCGATTTCGTCTCGGCGAATATTCCCCGATAATCACCTCGCCTTCGGCGAATAATTATTAAATATAAGTGCCGATATTAACTAGGACCGAATACGTCATTGTTTTTTTTATGATAAAGGACATGCATGCTATGCGAGGCAAGACAAGACAATTTATTGCTCCGTAATAATCACACATTACATTTTTTGTTTTACATTATTCCTTTTTTACTATTAATGTTACTTATTTATTTAATTAAAATAAAGGAGCTGACACCCCAAAATAACCATAAGGCTAAAAAACTGGGGGCCAAGTAGCACAATTAATCAATAATTGTAAGATTGATCTTACAATAATTACGATTTTTTAAAGCATAAAGAAAAATGAGAAATGTAAAGAAAAGACAATCATTCTTAGGAATAAAGAAAAAAATAATACTGATTAATAAAAGCAGCTTTAATTTTTCTCTTAAGTTGTAAAAATGTCATCTGTTTATCAGCTTCACTCAGCACATTCCATGCTTTCACTCCCTGATATCTAATATTAAATAATCCAAAATTTGTTCTTATTTTCGGCAAAGAAAAACAAAGATTTGATGAAAGTCTAGTATTATATGAATGTATTTGATAGACAGGAGTAAAGAGATCATTTAAACTCGAGGGCAAAAGTTGTCGATGATATTTGTACATAAACATGGTCATACGTAATGTAATGAGATGGGTGAACTTTAAGATTTGGAGGCGCTTAAAAAGAGGACTTGAGTGTTCATCAAAGCGAGAAAAGGTGATAACACGCATGGCTTTCTTTTGAAGTATAATAAGTGGTTTAAGTGTGGTTGAATATGTGTTACCCCAAATTATCAATGCATAGATAAAAAATGGGTATATTATTGCATAATACAGATTAACTAAAATCTTAATATTTAGAAAATGTCTAAGTTTAGAAAGAATGCCAATTCCTCTTTTGATCTTTTTTGCAATATGATCCACCTGATATTTCCAGGATAGGTGGGAATCAATAAAAACTCCTAGATATTTTATATAATCAACTTTTTTGAGATATCTGCCATTAATACTAAGACTTACATCTATTTCAATTTTCTTTTGATGAGGATGAAAAATAACAAAATTTGATTTTTCGATGTTAAGGGACAACTTGTTAGCACACAGCCAGACATTGATATTGACCAACTCTTGATTAATATTCGATTCCAGATCTAATAGATCTTCGTTTTCATAGAATAAATTGGAATCATCAGCAAAGTGATGAAAATCAAATAATTCTGAGCATTTATAAAAATCATTAATATATAATAAAAATAAAAGAGGCCCCAAAAATAAAAGAGGCAATTTTTGCTACAGCAAGTTTGCCAAGGAATTTTTTGACATAGAGCTATAGTATATATATATATTATTATTAAAGCTTTTATTTGCATGACCTAGTTACAGGTATTGCTAAGCGTATACATATATAAAAAAGTTATAGTAAATAACAACTAATTTTACTGTAGTTACAACATTAAGTGGATAAAGAAATATATACAATAGATAATATATAATAGAAATATAGGAAAATTTAGTAATTTAGTTAGTATCTCTTGTTTGAAGGCTTTTGTCTCTAATGTTAAAACATTTTGCAATGAATTTTGAAAATAGATCGATTAAAACTGAATCAGTGCTTGAAATAACATGACTCAATAAGTTTTGCTTTGACTCTGTTACAAGAGTCATTTGAAAAATGTTTTTCAGTATATTGCTGGAATCATTCCTAATGTTTTCATAATTTTGACATTCGAAGGCAAAGTGAAATTCGTCTTCGACTTTCTGAGTGCCGCATAATTTACAATATCTTTCTTCACGGGGTATATTTTGATAGCGGCCGTACTCTATAAGTAGTTTGTGATTACTTATTCGGAATTTTGCAAACATTCTTCTTTGGGATGGGTCTTTTATTGTGTTAAGATATTCTTCCATTTT